GGTCGACACTTTGTCCAGTTCCATTTCATCGCATTGCCTGCTTCGCCTTTGAATTTTCGGCATATATTCGCTTGCGAGTATTTGAAGAAGCCATCATAAGCAGTTGGATCAATCGGGCCGCGTGGCGCAATGGATGGCGCGTCTGAATACGGAACGAGAGATTACACTTTCGGATCCTGCCGTGGTCGACACTTTGTCCAGTTCCATTTCATCGCATTGCCTGCTTCGCCTTTGAATTTTCGGCATATATTCGCTTGCGAGTATTTGAAGAAGCCATCATATGCAGTTGGATCAATCGGGCCGCGTGGCGCAATGGATGGCGCGTCTGAATACGGAACGAGAGATTACACTTTCGGATCCTGCCGTGGTCGACACTTTGTCCAGTTCCATTTCATCGCATTGCCTGCTTCGCCTTTGAATTTTCGGCATATATTCGCTTGCGAGTATTTGAAGAAGCCATCATATGCAGTTGGATCAATCGGGCCGCGTGGCGCATTGGATAACGCGTCTGAGTACGGAACATGAGATTACACTTTCGAATCCTGCCGTGGTCGACCCTTTGTCCAGTTCCATTTCATCGCATTGCCTGCTTCGTCTGGAAATTTTCGGCATTTCTTCGAAGGTGAGTAATTACAGAAGCCATACTATGCAGTAGTATCAATTGGACCGCGTGGCGCAATGGATAACGCGTCTGCCTTCGAAGCAGAAGATTTCAGGTTCGAATCCTGCCGTGGTCGAGACTTTGTCCAGTTCCATTTCATCGCATTCTCTGTTTCGCCTTTGAATTTTCGGCATATATTCGAAAGCGAGTAATTAGAGAACCAAACTATGCAGTAGTATCAATGGGCCCTGGAAACACAATGGATAACGCCTCTGAATACGGAACAAGAGATTACACTTTCGGATCCTGCCGGGGTCGACACTTTGTCCAGTTCCATTTCATCGCATTGCCTGCTTCGCCTTTGAATTTTCGGCATATATTCGCTTGCGAGTATTTGAAGAAGCCATCATATGCAGTTGGATCAATCGGGCCGCGTGGCGCAATGGATAACGCGTCTGCCTTCGGAGCAGAAGACTACAGGTTCGAATCCTGCCGTGGTCGACAGTCTGTCCAGTTCCATTTCATCGCATTGCCTGCTTCTTCTGGAAAATTTCGGCATCTGTACGAAAGCGAGTAATTAGAGAACCAAACTATGCAGTAGTATCAATGGGCCCTGGAAACACAATGGATAACGCCTCTGAATACGGAACAAGAGATTACACTTTCGGATCCTGCCGGGGTCGACACTTTGTCCAGTTCCATTTCATCGCATTGCCTGCTTCGCCTTTGAATTTTCGGCATATATTCGCTTGCGAGTATTTGAAGAAGCCATCATATGCAGTTGGATCAATCGGGCCGCGTGGCGCAATGGATGGCGCGTCTGAATACGGAACGAGAGATTACACTTTCGGATCCTGCCGTGGTCGACACTTTGTCCAGTTCCANNNTTTGAATTTTCGGCATATATTCGCTTGCGAGTATTTGAAGAAGCCATCATATGCAGTTGGATCAATCGGGCCGCGTGGCGCAATGGATGGCGCGTCTGAATACGGAACGAGAGATTACACTTTCGGATCCTGCCGTGGTCGACACTTTGTCCAGTTCCATTTCATCGCATTGCCTGCTTAGCATTTGAATTTTCGGCATATATTCGCTTTCGAGTGTTTGAAGAAGCCATCATATGCAGTTGGATCAATTAGACCGCGTGGCGCAATGGATAACGCATCTGCCTTCGGAGCAGAAGACTACAGGTTCGAATCCTGCCGTGGTCGACAGTCTGTCCAGTTCCATTTCATCGCATTGCCTGCTTCGCCTTTGAATTTTCGGCATATATTCGCTTGCGAGTATTTGAAGAAGCCATCATATGCAGTTGGATCAATCGGGCCGCGTGGCGCAATGGATGGCGCGTCTGAATACGGAACGAGAGATTACACTTTCGGATCCTGCCGTGGTCGACACTTTGTCCAGTTCCATTTCATCGCATTGCCTGCTTCTTCTGGAAAATTTCGGCATCTGTACGAAAGCGAGTAATTAGAGAACCAAACTATGCAGTAGTATCAATGGGCCCTGGAGGCACAATGGATAACGCCTCTGAATACGGAACAAGAGATTACACTTTCGGATCCTGCCGGGGTCGACACTTTGTCCAGTTCCATTTCATCGCATTGCCTGCTGAGCATTTGAATTTTCGGCATATATTCGCTTGCGAGTATTTGAAGAAGCCATCATATGCAGTTGGATCAATCGGGCCGCGTGGCGCATTGGATAACGCGTCTGAGTACGGAACATGAGATTACACTTTCGAATCCTGCCGTGGTCGAGACTTTGTCCAGTTCCATTTCATCGCATTCTCTGTTTCGCCTTTGAATTTTCGGCATATATTCGCTTGCGAGTATTT